TTGTTGTGTTGTGTATAGTGTGATTTGTTGAAGTGTGGTATAGTATCATGTGGTGTGCTGTGCTATGGTGAAGGCTAGGGTAGGGTAGGTTAGGGCTTAGTTTATCATATATATACGTAATATTACCCTGCAGTGTGTTTTGTAGGTTTAATTTGTTTATATAAATTCTATTTTTGTTTTGCAGATAACTGATTCTACTTTAATTCATCTGTCTCTCTGGTGTAGTGGATTACAGAAACTGGTAGGTAGAGTGAGCTTATTTGTCAACTTGTTCAATCAATCACTCATCAAACTTACCAGTCAATCTACCAACATACCTACAAATTCTCTACCAYGAAACAACTCCTTGCTAAATGTATTATCTCTATACCTAACCAACTACAGTACCAACCGCCACCAAGTGATTGATGTAACCTTTATTATTTTCAATTTTAGAGTCTGTCACACTGTGAACTAATCACAGATGAAGGGATTCACCAACTAGGTGCCAGTCCCTGTGCTACTGATCATCTTGAATATCTGGAACTGGACAACTGCCCGTTGATTACAGATAATGCCTTAGATTACCTCCTGTATGTATCAAACAATGAATGTTATTGTCAATGATTAAATTACTAAAGATTTATTTTGACAACTTCAGACAATGCCAGAGGTTAAGAAGAATAGAACTGTATGATTGTCAGTTGATAACCAAAGCAGGAATACGAAAGTTCCAGGTAAGTGACAGGTGTTTTGTTTAGGCTTCCTGTGCTCACTTGACACAGGAAGACCGACACTAAAGTAGGCACTCATGGCGCAGATATTTTAATTGAAAGACGTTTGTCCCTAACCAGTGAGAAAGCATAATAAGTATAAGAAAGCTTGGTGTCCCACTTACCGTGCAAGTAACTAGAGTGTTTTTTCTTTTTAGATGGCATTACCAAATGTCAAGGTACAGGCATACTTTGCACCTATCACCCCAACTCCCAGCGTGGACGGAGGACGTACAAGAATGTGTCGTTGCTGTACGGTACTATAACGTTACTAATCCGCCGTTCAGCGGCAGAGTTACCATGGAAACATGTGAAAAGTTTAGGCTATTCTTTTCAAAGGACTTNTCGTCAAATCTGTATATACATCTAAATGAAAAATGTTGTCGTTTTCAAAAAGGTGCACGTCGAAGAAAAGACCGAAAAGGAGAATGGGTGGTTACGAAATTTGTATGAACTGTGTCTCACGCATCCACTATCTGCGCTGCCAGAATCATTAACATTATTGCCTCCTCTACAAGAAACGTTGATATGTAAAAAATTATAGATATTTCGGTCTTAACTTCGATGATGTGACCCTTTTTAGCCCGACGTTTTTTCAATCAAGATTAGTGATATCATTGTTCATGTTGCAGAATTCTATCAGAACATTATCGTTGCTTAGAAACATGTTTAAATGTAACTGCAGTTAAGGCGTGGAAATGTTTAAATCACGTGACCTCGATAGTCTGTGACTATTAGCACCGCTGGGCGGTTAGAACGTGTCCTCATAAACGTATTGTAAAATTGTATCAATTTCCCCGATAAATGTTTTGTTAAAAACATTTTTACCACATAGCTCATTTTGTTTTGTTCCAGAGTTCAGGCGTTAATGTGAATCAAAAATGCCTAAATTACATTGTTTGCTTATTTGAAACTACGTGTTAAAAGCTTTTTGCCTAACAAGGTGAAGTGGCTCATCTCCAATCTCTATGGGCTCAGCTTGTCGGAGTGTAAAGCCTGGGAGGAGTGCAGTTCGGATTGAAGGGGCTGAATGAGAGGGGTAGAATATGACCAAGTGCCGATAAAAGCTGTTTTAGTATTAGGCCTTGGTACAGTGATAATTCTGCTATGTAGGTAATTCTAACACTAAATAAAATCTTGTAAGTATTAAGTGGGTTAATTTAATATCTAATAGAATCATAAATTGTTACACGAAAAATAAAAGACTGTTGAACGGTTTAATGCTGACTACTGTTTTTATAATAATTWCTTGAACGATTGTGACATAAACAGAGCAAGAACTGCAACTGTTGTTAGAACTGATCGGCCCTGGTTTTCACTACAACTGCTATAACGCACGCAACCAAGGCACAATGCTAGACACCCTTTTAACCAACGCAAGACCAAACCTTAGCAACCACCACAAGCATTAGAATGTTTCTTTTTCTTGCGCTTGTGACTGCGTTTGTTCATACTTTGGTGTTACTATTCACCTTTGCACCGATTGGCGCATAAGTTATAGTGAAAATGAAACACTGAGATTGACGCAGACTTGGATAACATTTGCATTTTTGCTTGTTTTTGGGTTAAAGATTATATAATAGCAGTGGGATTGGGTCAGTACTTTGGACTGAATAAATAAAGAAGTGCTAGCCTTCTCCCCATGCATCTCTTTTTTCCTCCTTCGGGCTTCCTTTGTTGACAATTGACTAAAAAGGACCAACCTCGTTCCCAGGGCTACTCTGCGCCCAGAGATAGCCCTGGCATCGGCCGGTCAAATATGGATTTTGATTGGCTAAGATTTTTCTCACTTTTCATTGGTTGCTCATTTGTTGTGACCTTTTGACACAGAAAAATAGAAGAAACAATTCAAGTGTAAAGTTGATGGAAATTTTTAAACTAAAATGCTTGAGTTCAGCGTCTACAAGATGCTAAAACTACAAAAAGAAAAAACATGAAGTAGTCTATCGCCATGCACTAGGTCTAATTACAGTAAGTAGAAGTGAAGATGTGAATATTCGTGAGACGTTTGATCATGTTGAAGACAAAAAGAAAGCGAAAAAGACTTTGCATAGCATTACAAAATATTTTTTGCAATATTTCAAACGAACCACCATTTAGAAATTATTGTAAATGATATATATATAAAGTGTAATAAAATTACATGTCATTCTTGGCGTACTTTTATCGCCTTGTACATCTGATCGCCGTTCGTTCTCGTAGTGGGCACGAAATGTTATGTTCGGATTTTTTTATTTATCATTAAGCTTATATTACTCACCAAAGATGAATATCTTAGATCAAGGCGGGAAAATAAGTTGTGAAAAAAGGATTTTGGCATGCTTTTTAAATTTGCGCGATAGAGTTCAAAGTACAATTGACTCAGCAAGATGCCTAGCCGGTATTTTTGCAAAATGTTTTTCAAACTTTAAAAATAAAACTTTCAAAAATCTTATGGTTTAGTACCTTCTAGCTTAGATGAATTGGCGTTTTAAAACTTTCTAGACTTTCTAGATAGATTTGTAGATATATCAGCGAGATAAGCCATGAAAAAGGACTAAAAAGAGATCAATTGACATGTTTGAACTTCTTCAACAAACATTGACATTTTCTTTTACAGTAAGT